ATAACGATAACAATATCGAAGATAACGATAACAATATCGAAGATAACGATAACAATATCGAAGATAACGATAACAATATCGAAGATAACCACAACAGTATCAAAGACAGTATTGTATTTGCATTCTTCAATTAAATAACAACGGGGAAGAACCTTCAGTGACAATAAATATGAACATCATGGCACCCCTTTCCTTCCTGTCGTCTGTCTTCTTGATCAGCTCGGTTTATTTCTGTTTGAATTATTCGGTGCAAAGTTGTTCAGGCCATATTTACTTCTCTTTTCATATGTGAGGCAGCGTGGTGGAATCAGGCTCTCGTCAATTTTTGAGCATGTAGAGTTATTGATATCATCTCAAAGCTTGTTCACTTGTCTTTATTTAGATGCTAAAAATATCCGTTTATCTTGAATACAAGTCGAGATATTTGCAAAAGGAGGTGGGGATCACCTGTTTTCAGAGGTAAAATTAGTGAGAAAATGGCGCCAAAGAGTAGGTTATTTTCCTTAGCTTAAAGTTCGTGGTAACTGAAGATTTACATTTTTATGCCTTTAATCAACGCCTTTCAGAAAAATCCACACAGAAATGAGTTCTTTAAAGGGCATGAAAGGTATTGAGCCCAAAAAAAAAAAATTGATAAAAATTGACAAACCTGCGGAAAAATGCAAGTTTCTTTGCTTTGATTATTTTGACGAGAGCCTGATTCCACCACGCTGCCTCACATATTGAAGTTTAATGACAGTAATATATAATTTAAGTTTTTTTTATGTATACCTGCATGTGTTCTTACGGCCCTGTACAGCCAAGAAAAAATTCCCTCTGAGATGATAAAGTATTATCTTATCTTATCTTATCTTATCTTATCTTATCTTATCTTATCTTATCTTATCTTATCTTATCTTATCTTATCTATCTTATGTATATGTTGTTCTATGGTTTCCTCTGCTTTTCTTTCCCTCTATCTGCCCACAGAGCAGCAGTTTCTCTGGTCCATTTGATTTATTTATGTGGCCAAAGAATCTCAATTCAGTTTCATTAAAATTTACTCTTAGGTTATTATCTTTCTTCTTGTATTGGTCTCCACACTCGTTCCTTGACTGCTGATACCCCGCTACAAGCTGGCAATAAAATCCATTTGATTCAGTCGGGGCCATCTAGACAATGTCAGGAGTATTGTGTACTGCTTGTGTCATAATAACAGCAATAATAATAATAATAATAATAATAATAATAATAATAATAATAATAATAATAATAATAATAATAATAATATTAATGATAATAATAATAATAATAATAATAATAATAATAATAATAATAATAATAATAATAATAGCAATAATATAATAATAACAATAATAATGATAATGATAATAATAATAATAATAATAATATAATAATAATAATAATAATAATAAATTACACTTTTATTTGTCCTAAAAGGGCACTTTGGTTTACTAAGGCTAACATACATATTACATACATAAATACATAATTATAACTACAAACATACAGAAATACTTGCATAAATACATATATAAATACATGTACACAATATTACACAAATACACAACACCTTACAACCATGCCACTGTCGGTCGCCACTGTGCAGCGCCCTGTATTTTGAGATAGGGTTGTCGTGTCTTGCTAAAGGACACACCCCAGTGACCACCCATCTGAACCCTGTGTCATCTATACTTGCTTGACATTACTTGAGTCTGAACTCACAACTTACTTAGACACTGGAGCCCCCTTAGACCATGTCAAGTGTATTATTGTGCCCTGCCTTTGTCCACAGCCGACAGACAATCCTTGTGGAACTGGACACGGGCGGGAAACCGGAACTGACCTATGCCCCCGGAGATCACGTGGCCATCTTCCCGGAGAACGACCTTGACCTTGTGGACGGCATCCTACAACGACTGGTGGACAACCCGCCCTACAACTCTGTCGTCGCCCTGGAGACTTGTGACATGTCGGCCCGGGAAGGTTGGTCTTGTCTGTTTGCTTGCTTATTTTTTTGCTTTTGTTTTTTATTTATTTATTTATTTATTTATTTATTTATTTATTTATTTATTTATTTATTTATTTATTTATTTATTTATTTAGTTGTTTTTGGTAAGTGTTTAACGGCGCTCGCAACTGTATACGGTCATATGAACGCGCGGGACATATTAAACATGTTCAGTTGGTAGGAAGTGTTGGCCCGTGTGGCGGCCGAAGCCTATTCTTATTGATTTTGGACCCCCAAACAATCTTTAATGTGCGCAGCTTGCAAACGGTACCTCCAAGATTTTTCACCCTTGACCGAGACTTGTTTGTTCACTGATCCATTACAGGTTTACATTAAAGATATATGTGATGCAGCGTGGTGGTATCAGGCTCTCGTCAATTTTGGGGCATGTAGAATTATTGGTATTATCCTACAGCTTGTTCATTTGTCTTGCTTTCAATGAAAAAAGTTACCCATCCATCTTCAATAGAAGAGGAGATATTTTGGACTGATCGAGGTGGGAGTCACCTGATTTAAGAGGTAAAACTAGAGAGAAAATGGCCGCCAAAGCTTGGTAAATTCCAAAGCTGGAGAGTCCATGGAAACTGTAATTTTAATCAACGTTTTCGGTGAAATCCTCAAAGGAATGTGTTTGTAAATTTACATAAAAAGTGTTGAGCCAAAAAACAAAAATTTGATAAAAATTGCTAAGCAGGGAGAAAACTGTTGTTTTCCTCAATCTCATTATTTTGACGAGAGCCTGATTCCAACACGCTGCCTCACATATGTAGAGATAGAGCCCTCGTCTAGTACCTCCTATAGGTTCATAAGGCTTCCCTGCAGCTCCCAAATCCTGTTTGTTCATTCCCAATGACCATGTCATAAGCATTGCTTATTCGGCTATTACCGAATGCCAGGTCTGTACTCTTTTCCAGCTAAATAAACTATGTGGATTAGGGCAAAGCATCTTTCCTAAGGATACAACGTCATAAAATTATAATTTCTGGGCTGGGAATGTTTTATTGCAAGGATGAGAACATCCTAAATCATATAATACCCCCCCAGCCCTACAATTCCAAAAAGAAATGTAAATGAAACCTTCTTTACTTGTTTAAATGTATCTCAAAATTGGGTAAGTTGATAGCATTTCACAAAATTGTCACAGCCCAGCCTTCTAACATAATACACTTGACCAACATTCTAACACAACACACTCGTCCTGTCTCCTGTTGTTACATTCTAACACAACACACTCTTCCTGTCTGCTGTTGTTACAGTCTAACATTCTAACATAACACACTCGTCCTGTCTCCTGTTGTTACATTCTAACATAACACACTCGTCCTATCTCCTGTTGTTACAGTCTAACATTCTAATACAACACACTCGTCCTGTCTCCTGTTGTTACATTCTAACACAACACACAACACACTCGTCCTGTCTCCTGTTGTTACATTCTAACACAACACACAACACACTCGTCCTGTCTCCTGTTGTTACATTCTAACACAACACACTCGTCCTGTCTCCTGTTGTTACAGTCTAACATTCTAACACAACACACTCGTCCTGTCTCCTGTTGTTACATTCTAACATAACACACTCGTCCTATCTCCTGTTGTTACAGTCTAACATTCTAATACAACACACTCGTCCTGTCTCCTGTTGTTACATTCTAACACAACACA